AAACTGAGCAAAGCGAGTGGGAGCACCACGGAAACAGAAACCAATGTTGCCGGCTTTAAGTGAGCTCATCAGTCTCCAGTTGGGCTAAGAGGAGAAAGAGTGTTCCAGGGAGAGGAAACACAGGGGCTGAAGGCCCAGAAGCCATAAGCAGGAGCCGCAGGGAGAACTACAAGTCAGTCTCCCTGGTTGGCACAGGGCTCGGGCAGAGGCGAGAAGTGAGGCCAAACCACAAAGGGTTTGTAAGCCTCGCTGAGGTGTCGAGCTTGATCCTCAGGGTAATGGGAAATCATTAAAGAGTCTGAAGTAGGGAGTGAAACAGTCAGATCTGCATCTAAACAGAAACTTCACAGCAGCTACAGGTGTATCTTGGGATGCAGAACTGCATCCTCAACCTAAATCCTTACATTCCCTTCCAGATGACCACACACTGTGCTTCCAGCTCTCCTCATGGAATTCCTAAGTGGGTACAAAATGCAAGGGCTTCAGCAGAAATCTGCTCCTTGACCCTACACTGGGTTGAATGATGCCCCACCCAAAACATGTAGGCATGTCCAAGCCCCTGAAGCTATGAGTGTTACCTTATTTTGAAAAGGGGTCTTTGCAGATGTAATTAAGGATCTTAAGATGAGATCATCCTGGATTACCTGGGTGGGCCCTACATGCAGTGGTAAGTGTCCTTTTAAGAGACAGAGGAGGAGGAGGCCATGTGACCACGGTGGCAGAAATGGGTATGATGCCTAGGAAGCCAAGGATTGTTGGCACCCACCAGAGACTAGAAGAGGCAAGGCAAGATCCTCCCCTAAAGTCTCAGAGGAGATGCAGCCTACTGACGCCTTGATCTGACTTCTGCCTTCCGGAAGTGTGAGAGAATACAGTTCCATTGTTTCCAGCTACTCATTTTGTGGTAATTTGTTTCAGCAGTCCTAGGACACTAATACAACCCCATACTCTCACTAAGAAGCTTCCAGGACCCTTCGCCATTTGGTGGACCCTTCTAAACCAGAAAACTTCCTGTCTGTTTAGAAGCTGTAATTGTGACAGAGGCAAAGAGCCAGACTATATCATCTGTGGATCTCCTTCTCTGTACTGTTTGGCATTAAAAGGCCACCTTTGCCCAAACCAAGAAAGTATGTAACCAGAATGAAACAATGGACAGATCAGTGGAGCTGGGTCTTTGGCCAAGGCCAGAAGACTCTAAGAGGGAAATGCTGGCAGGACTCTGCAGGGATTAATGGTTTGGAAAGAGAGGAGGACAGTGAGTGCTCTATGGTGGTGGGCACAGAAATGACAGGGATGGTTGTCGTCTAAATAGATTCCAGATTCCTAGCTTCAAGTTCGAAAGCACCTGGTGGTTTTGGGAACTGGTGTTCTGGAACACACAGCCTGACCTTTAGGGTGGGTTCACTAAGACACCACTCATCAAGAGTTTCTTAAAGTACCCACTACATGCTTGCTTTGTTTGGCACTGTACCCAGCTAGGCACTTCGAAGGGTACAGTAAATGTCTGCATTTCTGGACAATAAGATTCCAGCCTGGGCCAGGTGCAGTGGCTCACACCTGTAGTCCCAGCACTTTGGGAGGCCAAGATGGGTGGATCACCTGAAGTCAGGAGTTCGAGACCAGCTTGGCCAACATGGCAAAACCCCATCTCTACTAAAAATACAAAAAAAATAGCTGGGCATGGTGACACGGCCTGTCATCCCAGCTACTTAGGAGACTGAGGCAGGAGAACCTCCTGAACCCGGGAGGCAGAGGTTGCAGTGAGCTGAGACTGCACCACTGCACTCCAGCCTGGGCAGCAGAGCAGGACCCCATCTCAAGAAAAAAAAAAAAAAAGATTCCAGCCTATCTCTGAAAGCATCAGTAATCGACCTTTGGGTATGTGATAAGTGTCTCTTCCTGGAAAAATCCTTATCCAACCCTGTAGACAGCCAGGGTTCTCAAAAATATATAAGCTTCTTTTTTGGAAGATTGGTCAATGTTGTAATGTTATAGGCTTCCCTTCAACATGTTCAGCCTCACAGGAACTAGCCTGGTCCTTGATTCACTGTAGGTATCTAATAAGGAGTTGATGACTTTAACAGGCCAGTTCTCAGGCCCATCTGGGTTTTCAGAGGGCACCTGCAGAAGGTTCTTATCTTGTTGGGAGAAAGGTTTCAGCAGGTAGTTTCAAGCACTCTGAGGGCACTGACAGCTAGGGGCCCAGGTTTCATCCCAAGACAAGGAAATAGGACAAAGAGAAAAGGCCCAGGACAAAAAGAAGGCTGTGGGTGGGAGGGAGGGAGAGATGAGAGAGGGTGTCAAGGCTAAACTCAGCATTGCTAGAGGCCACAATTTTATAACTCTCCTCCACGAAGCTTGTGCCAATTGTCTTAAGTCCCGGCTAAGAGGGCATCCTACACCTCCTTCCTTGTAACTCTTTCTCTCTCCCTTCCCTCCCATTCCCAAACATTTTAATTTAACTGCAAATAGCACCCACATGAGCTGGACTCAAAGGCATCCAGAAACTCATCAAGTACAAAGGGGCATTGGACTCAGCACAAATCCTGCCCCCTGTTGAAGGTCTCTGTTTATATCAAACAGAAGAGTGTTTTACTGAGAAAGGTGGTAAATCTGGGTAGCAGACTCTTTAACGGACCTCTCCTGTAAAATAGAGAAATACTGGTGGGCATCTGAAATGGGAAGAAATGAGAGCACGCATGTAGGGCACAAAGCTCAGTGCTCGGCCGTGGTCACAGTACTAGTGGTCTTGGGGCTAGCCTTGGAACTGTAACTGCTATTTCAATTTTTTTTCTTTTTTAGATGGAGTCTTGCTCTGTTGCCCAGGCTGGAGTACAATGGTGTGATCTCGGCTCACTGCAACCTCTGCCTTCTGGGTTCAAGCTATTTTCCTGCCTCAGCCTTCCGATTAGCTAGGATTACAGGCACGTGCTACCACACCCAGCGAATTTTTGGATTTTTAGTAGAGATGGGGTTTCACTATGTTGGCCAGGCTGGTCTCGAACTCCTAACCTCAGGTGATCCACCCGCTTCGGCCTCCCAAAGTGCTGAGATTTAGGCGTGAGCCACCATGCCTGGCCAGTGTTTTAATTTTTAAAAACCTGTCTCCTCTAATCTGCTGTGTGAGGAATCATTCACTCCTGTTTCCCCTGTTTCCCTCTGTTAGTTGTACCAGGGCAGTGTAAACATTGCAGCCTTCTTAGATAAGCACCCAGGAAGACCAGGGAAGGCTACGGTCATGTACTCACTGTCAGTAAACATTAGGCTTTCACAACCTCCGGGCAGACTTCAGAAGATGTGGCCGAAGTGCTTAGTGTTACCTCTCCTGTGGCATTTCTCTCAACAGTGTTGTTAGTGCCCTTTGGATTGGGTGAGGGAGGGGCGGAGGAGGTGAGGAAGCAAAGTGTCAGGAAAGGCAGGCACCCACTGAGTAGAGTGGGGAAGTAACTGGCACTTTGGGAGGCTGAGGCAGGTGGAAAACCTGAGGTCAGGGGTTCGAGACCAGCCTGACCAACATAGGAAACCTCGTCTCTACTAAAAATACAAAAATTAGCCAAGAGCGGTGTCATGTACCTGTCATCCCAGCTACCTGGGAAGCTGAGACAGGAGAATCACTTGAACCCGGGAGATGGAGGTTGCAGTGAGCTGAGATCGCACCACTGGACTCCAGCCTGGGTGACAGAGCAAGATTCCGTCTAAAAAAAGCCGGGGTGTGGGAGGAGTCTCAGCCTCTCTCAGTCTTCTCGCAAGCAAGGGACTTGCTTCTTGCTTCTTCTCTGAAGCTCCATAAAGGAGACCCTGTTTCACTTTGCTTGCCTCTTTCTTTCATAAAATCTTGTTTTAATGGAACTATGTTATACATTTGTTTATGCTAACATGTAAATGACTGCTGGATATTTATACTAGCTCATTTTCAAAAGGGAAAAAGCTTTCAGTCAAAGAAATGAAAACCAAGTGAGTGAGGGAGGCAGAGGGCCTTCCCAATGATTTAGAAAGCTCACCGCCTACTCCATCCAGAAAAGCAGTGGGTGTTCTATAACCTAGCTGCGACAGGTGGCCCAGGCCATTTGTGTTTGCTGAAATGACTGAGCGATTTCAAGACACGGTCTCACTCTGTCACCCAGAGTACAGTGGTGCAATCACAGCTCACTGCAACCTCCAACTCCTGGGCTCATGTGATCCTCCCGATTCAGGCTCCCCAGTATCTGGAATTATAGGCGTGTGCCACCATGCCTGGCTAACTTTTTTTTTTTTCTTTTGGAGAGATGGTGATCTCTGTATGTTGCCCAGGCTGGTCTCAAACTCCTGGGCTCAAGTAATCCTCCTACCTCAGCCTCTCAAAGTGCTGGGATTATAGGTGTGAGCCACCACTCCTGGCCTGACTGAGCAATTTATGAATCCTCCATCCTCTTCCTGGAAGTAGGAAAGTGGGCAGTGGCTTGGTGGTGGTGGGAGGCAGGGAAGCTCAATGGAGCAGAGGTCCATAAAGGGGGAGAGATTACTCCCTCCAAATGCACTTCTCAGAAAAAGCAGGGCTGCCAGAGAGGAGTGCAGAGCTATTTCTTTGAAACAGGGCTTTCAATGTAATACAAAGTAAAGGGCTCTGGCCTTCTATGTCTTTGGGGGTCCCTCCTGCCCCATGAGACGTCCCAAGTCAAGGCCGATGTTTCCAGGAGGAGCTCGTCTCATGGGCAGGTGCAGCCAACCTGTATAACTGCCTGGGATTGCCCTCTGCCCGGGGGCATGGGACAAAAGTAAGGCCTGGATCACATTATGCCACCTGAGAACTGGGGTCAGTGGGTGATTTCAGGTTACCAGTGTCAGAGCAAAGACAGTAAGAAGGATTGGCAGGGAGTGTCACCTGCCCCCTCCATGGGGTGGACCCACCAGCAGCCCTCTTGGGTCAGGAGGGCATGATGCCAGGGTGCAAAGGGCCTGGCCCCCAGCAGCCCCTGAAAAGTGGTTCCAAAAGATGAAAAACAGATGGGCCAGAGCCAGTCTTGGAACACAAACACCAGTATATTTTATGTGCACAAATGTGAAAAGGAAGAGACAGAGGGACCAATGGAGACACAGAGCAGGCCATGGGCGCACAAACCGTCGTGTGTCCTTCTCAAGAGCTGCCCAGCTGGGAGATGGTCCCACCCACTTCAAAGGCCCTTTAGCAGAGCTGGCACCTGCAGCTCCTCCAGGTCTGGGTGGCCCCAGGGTGGAAGGCATGCTCCCTGTCATGGCTCCTCTAAGGGCTGGGCCTCTCACCTGTCTGCATCCCAGGGTAATGCCTGCATAGTCCAGGGCTTCGTAAATGCAGGTTCTCATGAACTGACCCATTCAGCAGCTGCCTCCCCAAGAGACCCATGCAGAGTGAGGGACCAGGACAAAAGGGCCTCATGGGCACTCCCTCGGTATTATTGCTGTGAATAAGCTAGGCCATTGTGACTCACTGGCATTGAAGAGGGGACAGGGCACATGGGACAGGATGCCTCGCAGACATCAGAAGCAGTTCAACCATGCAGGGCAGCACATTGCAATCTGTAATCAGAGATGCTGCCATGTCCAGTGGAGAGAGGCCCAGGACACCAGAGGTTCACAAACAGCAGGCAAACACTCCCCACCAGCACCCTTAATGCTTGGCAGGGCTGGGATTATTCCAAACTTTGAGTCCCTGGGCACCAAGGGATTGGGGCCCTGATACCCAGAAAAGCAAGAGTTGAAGTCTGGGCTATCCCTGGTGAGATTTGAACCCGTAGATCCTGTGGTCAGGTCATGGGTTGTTGTCTTCCTTTGCTGGAGGTTTGATGCCCTATGAAGGGCAGTTGGAGCAATGGGACACCTCGATGGAGCAGAAACACAATGCTGGATGTTGCCAGGCACACAGGTGTACCCCAGGACCTCCTGCACTTGGGAGCTTATAGGACCCAGAGAGTAAATGGTGCCAGGGAATGCCCACAAGGCAACATCTGGAGCAGCAAGACCTGGTAGACCATTCAAGGGCTTGCTCTGGCTGAGAATAGCTGGTCACTGGACTCGGTTGTGGAATAGGGGTGTAAAGACGGGTAGTGGGGTCTAGGAGCCCACATGGAAGGCCTGAAGGGGTGCTGGGAGACTGAGACAACATGGAGTTGGGGAGAGAACCAAGGAGACAACTGCCCAGAGAGAACAGGGAAGCCAGACAATATTCTCCTGGAATTTTCTCCACCTATAGATGGAAAACAATCTAGTTTCACCAGAAGCCTGATTCTCTGTAACCCCCAAAGTCCTGGAATTGGGGCCAAAATACAATCAAAAGGAGGGCTGGCCCCTGAAGAAAGTAGCTAATCCCTGGATTTGAGGAGCCTGCCCAGGAAATAGGCTAGGAAATACCCTTCATTCTGCTCTGGACAGGGATAACTGCAGAAAATCCTGCCAAAGGTAGAATCTGCATGCTTTTCTCCAGACCTAGGACACAACTGTCGCCCACCCCACCACACCCTGCAACCTGGGTCGTGCTATCTGCACGGTTTGGGCAGGACAGCCAGCAGGGAAGAGGACATTCTCTCCACAAGTGTTATTGTCACTTTGTAACGATCCATAAAAAGGAAAAGGCTAATTTCTACCTAAGAGTCCTAGTGTGGTGAAGGAGAGACCATGTACCATGGGATGGGCCACTTTCTAATGGACCCTTCCCCTTGGGGAGTGAAGGTCAGAGCCAAGTAGGCTGGAGTATGTCACCCGTCCACTGCCAGCAATGGACCTGTCATTGGGCAAAGTGAGGCAGTGGAACCAAGGTACCAATGCCCATGAGTGTGGCAGGGTTAATACTGTTGAAGGAGTAATCTCAAAGGGCCAGCCTTGCTGGGAGGAGTTTGGGGAGAGGGGCAGCCCTGAGGTTTTGCTACAGGGCTGGGGCTATGGCAGAACTAGAACTGATACCCTGCCACAAAGGAGGCTCCAAGAGCCTCTACAGCCACAAGGTTCTCCTCTCTTTCTTCTTCTCATTCTCCATCAGTCTCCAATGCTGGATACCTGGCTTCCCCATCCCATAGAAGCTAGACTGCTCAGTTCTGGCTTCAACATAAACCAGCCAGGGAATAGATGACCTGGAACTCTGCCTTTTCCCTACCAAACTGACTTGCCTCTAGGTCCCCATTGTGGATCCACAGGGCCTATCCCAGCCTGCCTGTGCATTGGAGGGCATCATTTGTTCTCAGCTGGGCCGCTATGACAAGGGAGCACTGCCACGGCCCACTAGACCAGGGGCAGGGAGGCGCAACTCAGGAACTCCCCAGGCATCAGGCCAGCGGGAACAGTGGAGGGAAAGCTGCAGGGGGTGGGAGTTGGGGGTGTCTCAGGGCTCCATCTCCAGCTCCTGTGCTGCCTAGGGAGCTGGGGTGGGGCAGGTGTGGTGACTGACATGGATAAAGAGCCGCTAATGGTAAAGGCCTTGAACACAAGCGAGTAAAGGGGGAAACGCCACCGAACACACGGGGATTGAAACTTCCAAAAGCCCAAGGTTGGTGGGAATCCAGCACCACGGGGGCCCCAGAAGGCCAAGGGAGCAGCGCAGGGCCCTGGGGGAGGGGAGAGGAGCCAAGGAAGGGTCTCCCAGCCCTTGCAGACCAGCGTTGCGGCCACGCAGCCTCCTGGCTGCCCAGTCTCTCCTCGGCTGCAGCTCAGCAGGCCCCTGGGGAGGTATTGGTTGCAAGCAAGCACCTGAATATTGCCTAATGGAACCAGCCAAAGCCCAACTAAATCCAGAGGGGAGGGAAGGAGGTCAGGCCTTGCCTCCCACCTGCAGCCCCATTCTCATCGTCCCTTAGCCAGGACAGGGCCTGCTGCTTCCAAAGTCAACTACATAGTCCATCGCTGCTCAGCCACAGGCCTCCCGGCACCAGCCTCTGAGCTGGGCCAGGATCCGTGGACCTTTCCAAATGTCCCTCTGCGACCTCCACACCCCATCCCCCAACACCTGACCCCCGCCCCCCGTGGAGGTTAGGGGGCTGTGTGTGCCCTACACGGGTGAGGCCTGGCCGAGGCAGGGCTTGTGCGGCATGGATGGGGCAACCTCACCAGCTTGGTCTCTTGGTCCATGAGTTCCATGAGAGATCCCCAGGCCCCCCACCCGTTCCCTACTCAGTCAGTCTTGACGTGGCCGTTGGCCAGAGCTAGGGCGCCACTGGGCTCCCCGGGCTCGGCGTCCTTGTCAAAGCGGAGGCGGAGGGTGTTGCGGATGATGAACTGCTCCATGATGAGGGCCCCGCAGAACCAGGGCACGGCGTACTCCAGGGTGATGAGGCCCATGAAGTCAAAGTCGAACTGGGAGTAGTCCCAGGGGCAGGCGTTGAACTGGCGCAGGATGAAGCCGGTGGTGAACTCCCACAGGTAGGTCCAGAGCGTGTAGATGAGGCAGCGCAGGAGCAGCGGGCAGCGGCCGCGCAGCCGCAGGTACATGCGCTCCACGATGAGTATGGAGGTGCCGTAGATGAAGAGGGCCCACACGCTCGTGACCCCTGGGAACTTCCAGTTCAAGTTCACCACGAACTCCCAGGCTGCCGTGAACATCACCTCGCAGAAGTAGCCGTGGATGGCGTACAGGTACCAGCGGGACAGCGCCGTCAGGGGCTCGGCAGACGCCATGGCGCCGACTGGGGCCGGCTGCGGGTGGGCACAAGAGAGACAGGTGAGGGCCTGACGCGGTGGCTCACGCCTGTACTCCCAGCACTTTGGGAAGCTGAGGCGGGCAGATTACTTGAGGTCAGGAGTTTGAGACCAGCCTGGTCAACATGGTGAAACCCCCTCTCTACTAAAAATACAAAAATAAGCCAGGTGTGGTGATGCATGCTTGTAATCCCAGCTACTTGGGAGGCTGAGGCAGGAGAATCACTTGAACCCACGAGGCAGAAGTTGCAGTGAGCCGAGGTGGTGCCATTGCACTCCAGGCTGGGCAAGACAGCAAGACTCCGTCTCAAAAAAAAAAAAAAAAAAAAAAAGACCAGAAAAACCTACCCACCCTCCTGACTGCCTCTCCAATGCCACCCAAATGCTGCTTAGAGGGAGGTGTCTATACTCCCTACAGCTTTTTGGATTATCTGTGGTCAGTTGAAGAGTCTGCTGTCCTGGTCCACCAGTCCTCCCCATTTCCAGGCTACTTGCTGATTTCTCAGCAGGCCTATCCACTGGGGACCCCATTTCTTCCCCGGCTTCTCAAACAGTTCCACGTCACTCATATTTCTGAGATGTAAGTGACCCATCACATTTGTCTCTGTGTGTGTGCATGCCATTTTTTAAACCATTTTTAAGTGTACAACTCAGTGGCAGTAAGTACATTCACATTGTTGTGCAACTATCACCAGCAACCATTTCCAGAATTTTTTCATTGTCCCAAACTGAAACTTGGTATCCATTAAATACAAACTCCCATTCCCCAAACCCCTAGCCCCTGGAAACCACCATTTTACTTTCTGTCTCTGTGAATTTGACTACTCTGGATGCTCCATATAAGTGGAATCATACAAACACTGTCCTTTTGTGACTGGCTTAGCATAACCGGCTTAGCTTTCCCTCAGTGTAACGTCATTAAGTTTCACCCATGTTGCAGCGAATGTCGGCATTTCCTTCCTTTTAAAGTCTGAATCATACTCCATTGTATATATCACCATATTTTGTTTATCCTTTCATCCATTGATGGACACCTGGGTTGCTTCTACCTTTTGGCTACTGTGAATAAGGCCGCTGTGAACACGGGTGTACAAAGGTCTGTTTGAATCCCTGCTTTCAACTCTTTCAAGTACATACCCAGAAGTGGAAATGCTGGATCCTATGGTAATTCCATAGTTAACTTTCTGAGGAACTACTGCACTGTTTTCCACAGTGGCCACAACCATTTTACATTCTCCATAAGCAATGCACGAGGCTTCCAATTTCTCCACATCCGCCCCAAATGCTAGTTATTTTCTGTTTTGTTTTTATAATGGCCATCCTAATGGGTGTGAGGTGGTTCTCTCATTGTGGTCACATTTGTCTTTGCTTCATTAAATGGGGTTTTAGTGTTTGGTTTCAGTGTTCAGGGGAAACCAATGGATTGACACAGGAAAGAGTCCTCCCCTGTCCTTCTGACTCCCTTCCCTTCCCCTCTTTGAAACCCCACCAGTCTTCAAGGCCCACTCCCATGCTGCTTTTCTCGACTTTCTCCTCGCCCTCCACCAGCAACTGTCTGCACCACTCATCTGGCCCATTATCAGGTGCCACCCCAGTGGATTTTTGAGGAACGTGCCCTCATGATCCAACTAGCCTGTGAACTCCTTGAGGACAGTGACCGTTGCATAGGCTGGTGCTTTGTGGCCTTGACACAGGCCTCTCCTGAGCAGGCCCTCTCTAAATGACATGTCCTGTCATGTAAAGAGTGGCGTGGGACTGCATCAAGAATGGGAAGGTAGGGCTTGAGAACATAAATCCCAGCTCTGGCAGCTGCCAGAGGGTTCACATCTCTGTCCATCCCCTCTCCAAGGTGGGAGAAGAGACTGAGGTTAAGGACATGAATCTGCAGTATGGACACCTGTCTGGGAATCCCAGCCTCACATTTCAGCTGAAGCAGTCCGGGTCACATTAATACCTACCTATCCTTGTGCATTGCTGTGTGGTCTTCCAAGAACTTCATTCATATTTTGCCATGTTTCTTACATAATTAAGATTCACATGAATGTCAGATAACTTTATTCCCATTTTTTTGGAGTGAGACAGTTGGAGTTCAGAGATCAGACATCATTTGCCCCATATCCCAGGACCAGTAAATGACTTAGACTAGAACCAACATCTCTTGCTTTCTACTTCAAAATTTACCCCACTGCACATGACTGCCCATCTCTTAGACATATGTACTGAATGCCACTCCCCTGCTCAAAAACACTCGATAGCTCCCTATTTCCTAATGAAACACAACAGCTTCCTTGGCCTGCCATTCAAGATTCTTCATGACCTCGCCCCGATTGACTCTTCAGCCTTCTCCTCACAATCCAGCTCTTCCTGTCTTTCATCTCCATGCCTTTGCAGGTCCTGTTCATTCTGTGGGGTGTGCCTTTCTCCTCTCAATTCCGTGAGTATAAACCAGCTTACAGATTACCTTCAGAACAAAATCTCTTTCATCTTCCCAGGTCCCAAGTCCTCTCTTCCTCCTCTGAATTTCTACAGCAGTTACTCTGTCTCACTCCCTTTGGTACAGGTTATCTTCTATTATATTATGTTGAGAATTTTAGTCCCCAGCCAGACCTCTTTCCTGTGTGCTGCACATACAGCTTACACTCTACCCTAGGCAGCTCCCACTAATGTCCCACAAACTCATGGGCAGGTGTAGTGGCTCATGCCTTAATCCTAGAATTTTGGGAGACCGAGGCAGGAGGATCGCTCAAGCCCAGAACTCTTGAGTTTGAGACCAGCCTAGGCAGTGCAGTGAGACCCTGTCTCTAAAAAATAAATAAAATCAAACCCATTATCTTTTCACCAAAACCTGTTTCCATCCTAAGACCCGCACCCCAATTAATGGTACCACCATGCACCCAGTTAGAACCAGAGGCCTCAAAGTCACTCTGGCTTCCTCTGCGACACCCCCACCCTAACATGAGCTCCTGAAAGTGACGGTCTTGCCTGCCTGGTTCAGCACAGTATTCTCAGTGCCTGACACAAAGCCCAGCACACAGAAAGCATTCAAGACAAGAATAAAGGCATTTCTTAGTTAGCAGTTGCTATATAACAAATCATCCCCAAAACTCTGGCCTAAAACAAATACCATCTACTATTACAGCTCACGTGTCTGTGGTTGGCAGACGGCTGGGGCAATGTAGCTCCACTCCACCTCTGGGGCCCAAAGGACTTGCCTGGACATATTCTTCTCATGGCAAGGGCAGAGGCACAAAGGTGAGCAAGCCTAGCTGCACAAGTGTGACTCAAGACCCTGGTTAAGGCATGCCCACCACCATCCCACTGGCTAAGGGAAAGCCACCAAGTCAGCCACTAACACCCGCCCTTTCTACCTCTTACATATCTTTGGGATCTATCCTCTCCTCTTCATTCCTCTTCTTGTTGCTACCACTGCTCTGGTTCAGGCACTCATCATGTCTCACCTGGATGACTCCAAAGGTCTCCCAGCTTTGCCTTCTTCCTTCTAATTCACTCATCACAGGACGAAAGAGTGTATAGAAAAAAACGCAACCTTTCTAAAGTACAAATCCAACGTTTCTTGCCACTTAAAGCCTGTGAGTGGATCTTCAACATCTACAGGGTAAATAAAGCTCAAACCCCTGGGGACAGCTGGCAAAGCCCTTGACAACTTGTCTCTGCCTCCGATCCTGTCCTCCAGATCTCCACCTTGCTATTTTTGCTACCTGGGCCCCTCTCAGGACTTGTGAACCCATAATCCTCCTTTAAGACCCAGCTCTTCCTCTGTGAGGACTTTCCTAAGCACCCTGACTCCAGAGCTGTCTGTTGACTTCTGCACCCTCCCTTCTCTGTGGTGACAGTGAGCACTCTCCTTTGCTGGATTCATCTGAAGGCCAGCACCGGCAGCCTCCTGAGGAATGCTTGTTTAATAAGAGGTAAGAGAAAAAAGCAGGACTCAAAACTGAATATTCAACCTAACTTCGATTCTGCAAAGCCATGCATACGTGCACATATACAAAAAAATCAAACAATCATCTCTGGATGGTGATATCATTGATTTTTTGAATATTTTTCATCGTACTCTTTTTTCCTAACAAGCATGTATAACTTTTATAAACCTAAAATTTCACTTAAAATTGCTTGTGAAATGAATACGTATTCACCGCGTTCATACCTCATATATAGAAGGTGTTCAATGAATTTGCTAAGCAAATGAACCCGAAGAAACCCGAAGTCATGCAAAATTAATGCAGGTTCTTCCCTCCTGGGTCTTCCAACAACAAACCATGCCTCACAGGTCTGAATAGGGCCAGCTGGTTAAGCTCAGGGGCCCCAGATGATTCTAACTGCCTGGGTTGGAATCCTGGCTGATGCTTTCCACCTGTGGGACCTAATGGAGGCTACTCGACCACCCTGTGCCTCAGGGTCCTTGTAGGTAAAGTGAGGCTCATGAAAGTAACGACCACAGAATGCTGTTGTGAGGATGAATGAGCCAGTACATATACGCCACTTAGAACACAGCCAAGGCTCCAGAAAGGGCAGCTGTCATTTCCGGCACAGAGCCAGGCTTCTAGACAGCCCTTCCTGTTTTTATGCCGCCTCCTACCTGATGCAGGGTGGCTGTGCCTCTGCTCTTGGCAGTCTCTAGGAAAGCCCTTCCTGTCCAGCAGGTTAGGTCTTCATCCCCACCCTGAGCACCAAGCTAGGGAGCCAAGAAATCCAGTGGCAACAATACTCCCACATACGGCCCTCAGGAGAACAAAACTCCCACAGACAGCCCGAGAGAGTGAACCTGAGCCTCCAGCTTCCCCGTGGCTACTGAGGGATGAATGGAAGAGGAACGGTCTCAGAGCCAGCCCGAGGGGGAGGCTTGAAAAGTGGGTAGACTGAAAGAGTCACAGCCTGTCACCCCCTCATTTTATCCTATGCCTCCCACCGCCAGGCAGGAGAGAACAGACCCAGGCTCCAGGGGAACACACTGAGGCAGGCTGACGGCCTGAGACAGATGGCACAGTGCAGGGATGCAGAGACGGCCGAACCTCCTGCCCTGACTCAGGCCCCGTGACCTGCACATACACCCCTGGCTCTCCCAGCCCCCAGGGCCCAGGCTGAAGGAAGGGAAACCTCACTTACAGGGGCTCTCCTGCAGCAGCCTGACATGACTGTATGGATCTCATCACCCAGGCCAGCACCTTAGCCTTGAGGCTGACTTTAAACCTTGCTCCTCTTGCCTCTGATCTCTCTGGGATGGCCCAGAATGGTTTCCCAGCTGGTAACATATGGGAAGGTCCAGTCTCTTCCCCAACCCTAGCAGGTAACTTGGGAGAATTAGACCCCAAAACCCTCGGAGCAGAAGCAAGATGAAAGGGGTAGCTGTCAAAGGGAGAGAGAAACCTAGGGTGAGAGACAGCAAGTTGCTGGACAGAAGAGTGGATGGAGTTCATGCCTGTAGTCCCAGCATCTTCGGAGGCTGAGGTGGGAGAATAGCTTGAGGCCCGGAGTTCAAGACCAGCCCGGGTGATATAGCGAGACCCCCATCTCTAGTCAAAAAAAAACCAAAAAAACAGCAACCTAGTTTGATGTGTGTGCCTCTAGTCCCAGATTCGATGGCAGGAGGATTTGTTGAACTCAAGAGTTCAATGCTACAGTGGGCTATGATTGTGCCACTGCACTCCAGCATGGACAATGAGCAAGACCCTGTCTCTTAAAAAAAAAAAAAAAAGAAAGAAAGAAATATAAAGAAGTGAGATGGGGGAGAGAGAAACCGAGTGTGTCCCAGGCCCAGATTCTGTTTCTGGGCAGCAGGAAACCCATGGGTAGTAGACAGCGGGGAAGCACACCACAGCGAGGTCAGTGTCTGATGGTGGAGCTAGGAGAACAGAGCGGTCCATGCAAGACCAACACGGGAAATGAAAGACCTGGCTTGGGGCAGAAGATGGGGTTGAAGAGAAAGGAATAGGAGACGGTGTCCTCAGCTGAGGTGGCAGCTCCCAGTGTGGTGGGGGAGATGATACTATTAGAGGCTGGGCATTGACTCAGATGCATTTTCAGAACCCTACTCTCCAAACCCATTTCTAGTCAGCACAGGAGCTGTGCTTAACTTTGAGCTAGGACAGGCTCACCCACCACATCCAGGGCCTGACAGGCCCCTATTCCCTGCCCTGGCCTCCGCCCACCTGAATTCCTGTACCCCTGGGCCCCTTCCACTAGCTCCCTGCTCAGCTCTGGGATCAGAGCCCTGGGAAAGCCTGCAGCAGGAAGAACCAGCAGCTCAGTGCACCTTGGCCTGTTTCTCTTGGTGACAAACAAAACTGTCCTGAGGCCTGTGACATGAAGATAGGACAGCCCAGGAACAGAAATTCAGGGTGGATTGGCTGGGCGCAGTGGCCTACCACTTTGGGAGGATGAGGTGGGTGGATCACCTGAGGTCAGGAGTTCAAAGCCAGCCTGACCATCATGGTGAAACCCACCTTAAAAAAAAAAAAAGAGAAAGAAATTCAGGGTGGATTGAAGAGGAGGAGAGTGTGAGCAAGACTGAATGCTGGAGGACAGAGTTTGGAGAGCAGTGGAGAGCTTCACAGGCAGGGTTTGGGTAAACAATACTCAAATCCAAGAGTCCTCATACCTGATGAAAGGGCCTGGGCAAACACAGTCCCAGTGAAGGGCCAGGACTCAAGATGACTTGTGAGATCCGGGAACTACCCCTCCAAGGGAACAGGTGATGGGGAGGGGGAGCTGGCTTTCAGAGCCCTGCTTGCTAAGAGCATCTCACCAGCTGCTCTCCGAGCCTGCTGAGCTGTTTCATAGGGTGGCAGGGGACACCAACAGCAGTTGAGAGGGGGTAAAAAGACTGCTATAAAAGTCTAAGACAGGATGTTTTGGTACCAGTACCATGTTCATTTGATTATTGTAGCCTTGTAGTATAGTTTGAAGTCAGGTAGCATGATGTGGCAGGGGGAATGGAGACAGCAAGCCACCATGGCATCTGTGTACCTATGCAACAATCCTGCAGGATGCAGGATGTACACATATACCCCAGAGCCCAAAGTACAATTAAAAAAAAAAGAAAGAAAAAAAAAGTCTAAGACAGGCTGAAGGCAAAACCAGATGGAATGACTGCCCTTGGTTTTGTCACAAACCCCCATCTTGTTTCTGGGGGCTGAGGTGCCACAACACAATAACTGGGAATTTCTGTCCAGAGAAGCATCTTGCCAGGAAATCAGGATTCCCCTCCCATGCAACCCGCCTGGGCAGGCCTTCCGCTTTCACCCCACTCACTTCCCAAGCCTCACTGCCCATCCCCAGGGACCCCTGTCACTACAGTTCCATGTCCTGGGAAGACCCACAGCCCTTCTGGGAGGCCCCTGAGGACAAGGCAGTGGTGGACAGCTTCAGGAGTCCCTGGGTGGCTCTGTGCTGAAGGTGAGTGGCTTCAATAAGGAAACGGCAGAAACCTCCCTGAACGTCCCCTGTGGTCATGAAGTTAGCAGGGAGGAAAATAGGGCTTGCTCAGGGCCAGAAGGGAAGCAGGTGGAGGGAAACTCCTGTAGCCACTGGCTGGTGCACATGCCACAGAATTCCACCCTCGAGCTGTGGGCACCCCCCAGGAAAGCCCCAGGGATCAGTGACACTGCAGGCCTTAATGGAGTCCTCCCTCCACCTCCCAAGTCACAGTAATAATAATAACTACGTGCTCTTCTCAGTATTTCCATGAATTAACTCAAAAAGTCCTCAAGCCCATTTTACAGATGGGGAAAGTGAGGCAAAAAGAGCCTACATTCTTTTTTTTTTCATGGAGTCTTGCTCTGTTGCCCCAGCTGGAGTGCAGTGGCATGATCTTGGCTCACTGCAACCTCTGCCACCCAGGTTCAAGTGATTCT